AGTTGTTTTTTGGTTTTCAGTGTAACACTCTTGATGTTTGCCACCTTGCAGAACTGGGGGGTGTTACCTGTGAAAAATGGACGGACAGCTTCAAAGGCAAGAAAACCACAGGATTTACAAAGGAATGAGATACAAACTGCACACACTTCAGGCTTCCGAAATCTAAAGAGAAAGGAAGGACCCCAAATTATCGAAGATTCACTTCTGCTAATCCCATCAGGTCCTGTATCTAGACATGATGCAGGAAATAGCATCTCCTCTCTTTGCCCTTGATCGTGCAAAAAAGAAACAGAATCAGCAAATCATGCTACAAATAGGCAAAAGAAACCAATAATTACTTAAAATTATTTACATCTCTAATACAGGACTTTGTCTTTATTCCTTAAAAATGCTTTCGCAAGCCAGAATTTTCCAAGATTTAAAATCATTTCACATTTACAAGGGAAAAAGCTGAACCCCTCCAAGGTAACACAGGAGAACAGATGCACATCCACAAGAAACTCATCCTCTTCAGCAACAACAGTAAAGACCACACGTTTTTCTTCAAAATTTTATTTCAATTTAAATTATGGGGCCAGCCAGATTTTTTTGGATAAGAAACGCATTTTCCTCAGGAGAAATGAAATGCTACCACGGAAGTAGAATTACAATTGTATACATCTCTTATTTAAAAAAAGAAAAAAAGACAAAACAAAAACCCAAAACCCGCTCGCACTTAAATAACTTTTAGTTAATACCCTTAAGCCTTCAAGCAGATAAGAAACCACTTCCAGAACAATAGGTTTTTAATACGAAGAGCACGTCAAATGAGCTGTAATTTAAATACAACCTCTTCTCAAAAGCCAACATTCAAATGTTTCCACATATTAAAAAAAGTCACCATAGCCATTGTTTCCAAGGCCTAATAAAAGAGTAACTTCCATCCCAGTCCAAATGTTTTCACTTCTTTACATATATAAATCTTTAGCATGTCTACATTTTTCTAAAGAGGAAGCCTTATATGTTATGGTGAGTAACTTGGCAAATAATGTTTTCCTCCACTCAGCTATGATAAACCAAAAGGTAATAGACTGTTAGTACTGAACTATAATACCATCTCATGGCCAGTTCTGCTTGCCTGTGATCTTCAGAGTAAGCTATTTTCCTTCTCGTAGGCAAAATGAATCGGTTTGCAAAGGACACCTTAAGAACCTTTGAAAGACCAATTACAATGTTAAGAGTAATTTTAAACAACTCAATTTGCTGGAGCTATCTGACTTCCCTTGTGAAGGCTTTCAAACCAGCTTAAACATCATTTTGGAGTTTCATCTTGTTGATTGCAGAATATTTTAATTAGGAAGAGGACAGGAAGCAACAAACATTTTCTATAGCATTCGCAATCGGATTCAGCCATGCAGAATTTGAACTCTCAGACTCCAATCCGTAAGTTTGCTTGGTTGTGGTCTTAGCATTACTATATGATGGATAAATACAATTTTAATAACATTTAGCTATATTTAGTAGATTCCTTTTGTATGGTCACAGTAACAAAACCATGGTGCTAAATCAGTTGGGGTTTTTTTTGTTTGTTTTTATAAATACTGACAGTTTGCAGCATTAAAGAACAAAATTAAATCATTTTGTTACCCTAGGACAGCTATGAAGTTGTTTCCTGAAGTCAGGGGGAATTAAATCATTCACTCACACAACTACTATACCGAGTTATTTACTGTAAGAAAGAAATGATGCACTGCAGGCCCCCCAGCAGTAAGAGGAATCCATATTAATTTAGCATACCCTTTTGCCAAGCTGGTGAGCACAACGCTAGTTTAACTGAATAAGGCCAATATTATCCAGTAAGAATGCAGTATTAAAGGGTTCCAGTTCTCTATTTCAGCCTACCCTAAGCGATGGCACCCCATTAGATAACTGAATTTGTTTGGGTTTTGGTGTTTTTTTTCCTTTTAATGCTGCAGTGCTTAAGATCGCTAAATCAGCATTTCCATGTGATCTGAAGTATTCCATTACACATGAGCATTCATTTTGCAAAACTCAATATTAGGTAATAGTTACAGACTAATACAATAACATTCCTCTGCTGTACAAATTAAATCATATTTTAAAGAAATGAGCAGCCTAGGAGTTATATACAAAAGAAACCAGCAAGCGTTGTTGAAATGAAATGCAAAATGTCACTGCTAGGTCTTACTGTCTGAAATACCTTTAAAGTAAAATTAACAAAACCCTTTAGAACATATTTCCAAGTTTACAAGTCAATTCTCAGAAAAATCAAATCATGTCAAAAAAAAATTTTCTATAAAGCAGTGAAAGGCATATATACATTTTCCTTATGAACCTGGAGATTTCACTCTTTTAAAAGTTGCTAAGTTTCAATATCAGTTTATTTGCAAGACAACTGTTTATCCCAATAAGCTCACATCTTAGATGCATTTCCCCTTTGATTACAAATAAAGCACTGCACATTTTTGTTTTTTTAAATCAAGGCATATAATCTTATACTACGGTGCTGGGTATGCACAGGTCACATTGTGCTCATATCTCAAACAAGGTAAGTGCAAACATACAGATTTATTCAGATTTGCAAGCATGCAACCTGTTACTTAACTACATTAACACCTTCTCTCCTAAACCAAACTAGTATCTATATGTTTGCTTTCACGAACCTAGAATCTTTCTTTTCAGGACTCCTAAAACAAGCAGTGTCTTTGAATTCTGAAATGACACAAATATCAAGAAAGTCCACATTGTGCAAGAAAGCAGCAGCTATGTTTTTCAACTTGGACTAAAAAAGAAAAGAGAAAAACAAAAACCGTTCACTGAACAGCAGATTAGCAGTAATGTTCCTCATGAATCGGTAAGAGTGCCTGATGCTGAATATCTAACAGCAAATGCTGAATTTGGGTTTAATATTTTAAGGGTTTATTGGAGATTAAGCTTCTTGCTGTGCTGGTCTCTTCAAATCCCTGATCTGTTTAACTAAATAGGTCTTCTCATCATTAAATTGTTCATCCTCGGTCCTGTCATTCTGAAACTTGCTGAGGAACTCAATAAGTTTGGTCTGGTTCTTTAGAAGGATGTCTAATATAGGCTGTGTCTTGTTAGGATTGGCTACAAACACCTGCAAGAAAATAAAAGGCATTTAGCATGACAATAGGAAACAGAAAGGTAAGTTAAAAAACAAACCCAGCCAACAAAACAGTGATGACAATAACTTAAAATGTTTTAATTGTTCCGCATCCCCGTATCTCTACAGACAAAAACTAATGGAGTAAATGCAGGGGGGTTTTCTTAAAAGCTGAACACCAGTACCAAAGTAAATTACATTTGTAGGAGGTGACCAGCCACAATACCCTCTGCACAATACACTGAAGACACCCCATGGTTAAATTTGGTAGCAAATGCATGGTTTCATGTTACATACAGCATCGGATGTGTATCTTGAAGTTCCTCAAAGCATTTATACCTCAAGTTATATCTTCAAGCTCTTAGCTATTTGCTTGTCTGCTGCCAAGTCAGAAGGTATCTGTTACAATGTGCAAATTACAACTCAGGCTTTGAAATTTAGGTGACCTGACAAAAATACTGCTACCCTTCATCAATCATGCAGCATGATGAAAACACTTTTTAACTCCAGGATGCGCCATGATCTCATATGAAATCATGCATTCCTCCTTATCTCACTGCACTTCTTCCTTCTGAATTCCAAGATTTTCTGAGAGAGATCACACACTATCATATGGGAGTCTCTAAGTTGGGTTTGTCAATAGTTTTTTGTTATTTGTAAAGATGGATCATAATAAAGACAAACATTACCTCCCTCTTTATTTAACCATGTAGCAGTAATTAAGATAAGCTCTATTCAGGCTCAGCTAAGTCCTTTACTCAACTAAGCAGCTTTTGGTGGGTTTCTTTTGTTGTTTGTTCTGCAGGGGGGGGGTGTTTAAACATACCTTAAACACATGAAAGGCCTCAAATTGAATGTTACGACTCTTGTCTCGTAGAAGGTTCATCATGAGTTTGAGATTTTCAGGTTTACTGATGTACTTTGTCATAATTGTGAAGTTGTGTCTGTCCAATAACAATTCACCAAGGAGCTAAAAGTGGGAAAACAAGCCCAAACAAAAAAATGATTTGATGTTGGACATAAGAAGCAAGTGATAAACACACATGCACATAGCCATTCCTACACAGGGAGAGAAATTACTTGGTGTGTGCTGGACATTAAATAATGGAAGGACTGGACTAAAGAAAAGTACCTGATCTCAAGCATTAAAACATATGAAAAAATAAACTAAACACTACTCTAGGCAGTTACTGAAACCATTTCAATTCAAGTCAACACACCTTGAAATTAAAGGAATTCTCTAACTTTGCACTTAAAAAGAAAATAAAATTGCCTTACCTTAAGTGACTGCCTCTTTGTCACGTAATTTTCCGAATGAAGTAACTTCTCATATTCACTGAAGAACTGAACACAGAATAAAGAGAAGGGTTAGGACCTTCCCAAGTGTTACACGCACTCTTCTTCCATACGAGTATAACAAACTGGAGAAGACGCACATCCATAACAAAAATGCAAACAAAAACGCAAACAAAAACTGAATTCTGTAGGTTCCTGTCAGTCACTATTGCTTAAACACTGCATATGCTTTATAAAAAATATTACTCTTTCTGGAACATTTAATGTTTAGATTGCAATGTGGTGCAAGTAGTTATCTCATTACAGAATCATAGAATGGTTTGGGTTGGAAAGGACCTTAAAGCTCATCC